AAGAACTAATGTAAAACAATTTTAAGACTTTCTTATATGTCTATAAAATAGTATCTATCCATGCTGGTTCTGGAGATTTCAAGCAATTCAAAACTCCAGTTGTCTCTTGGTGATTCTGAAAAAAAAATTGTTTTGACTTTGATTTTTCAAGACAAGATCTCTCTGCAAAGCCCCAGTTGACCTGGAGCTCACTATGTAGACCAGGCTGGCATCAAATTCGCAGAGATCCTCCTGCCTCTGCCTCCCTAGTGCTGGGATTGAAGATGTGTACTATCACTCATGGCTAAAATTTTGATTTTATTTTATACGTATGAGTGTTCTGCCTGCATGTATGTCTGTACACTATGAGTGTGCCTAGACTGGTACCTGAAGAGGCCAGAAAGTGTGTATGCATGCCTGGTGCCCGAGACTCCCTGGAATTGGAGTTATAGACTATTGTGAGCCCCATGTAGGTGTTAGGAATTGAACTCAGGTCATCTGGGAGAACAGCCAGTGTCTTAACCACTGAGCCATCTCATCAGCCCCAAACTGAAGATTCTGATGCACATTCAATTAACTGTTTCATATGTGACCAAGTCTTACAACAAAATAGTGTATCCTGGCCACTATCAGCAGACACACTATTTCTTTTAAACAGTGAGAGAGACGAAGTTTGTAAGATACCTGGGAATCAGAAGGGCATGTGGAGGTTTGCCAGGGTCCAGTTCCTAGGCCTCTGATCACCTCTTTTGGGCCTTACTGCTGACATAGGGAGTGACATGGCAGAGCATTCTTTGCTTTGAGAGCACACTGGTCCACCAGCAGGATGTACGTGGAGACCCCACACTTCCTGCCAGCCCCAGGACTCGAGACTGGATAGACACTGTCCACCATTACCTGCACTGAAAAGCCCAGCCGACTCCTGCTTCATTTTGCTGGGCAACTAGAAACTGCATTTGAGTCTCAAAGACTCCAGCTGGGTTCAGAAAGAACAGGAAAACCATCAAAGCCCGCTCCAGAGGGACCCATAACGAGGTCCTTTTATGAATAAGGAGAGGACAGTCAGCGTGTCCTACCCCATCCTGCCTTCCTGTTGTTCTCACACACACACCCCTCCTTCTGTTCCCTTGGCACTGCTGCTCATGCTCACACTTTTCCTGATCCTCATCTCCTCCTTGCCTCACCCGTGTTGAGAACAGAGCTCAAGGATTAACCACAGGAGCAAACCGTGGGGCGTCTTAACATGTAGCCTCTTGCCACAGAACGTTGGCAAGCTCCACGAACAGAGAGCACAGTTCCTTTCCTTTGCATGAGCGTGAATATCCTTTGCTCTGCTTCAGGATGGACAGAAGTCAGTGAGGAAGAGTGGAGATAAATCTGTCCCAGGCGTGCTGACTCACTGTGGCTCTTCCAATACCACTTAACCAGAATGACCTTCAATTCAAATGAGAACCATAAAATACCAGTAATTTTATTTGGGGGAATATTTATATTTTGGTACAGTAGGTGAATTCCTAATGAAAGGGCATTATTACAAGCATTTCCCTCCAAATTCCACAGTTTCATCTCTGTGCTTCGTTCGTGCTTGTCATTATTTTTAAAATTCATCCACTCCCTATTTCATCCTAACTGACTCCCATGATTGTGATCTCTCAGAGGAGATATGAGTTCCAGATTGCTTTAAGACAAATCAGCCCCAATACCTTCCTCCTCAAACTGTGCTTCCTGAGTGAGTGCCCACTGAGTCCGGTGACTGAGAGCATAGTGTTAAGAGCAAACTGTTCTCTGCTTAAAGGAACAAGCTGACAGGTATTCGGTAGTCTTCTTTCCTGTTGATACAAAGGACAGACTAACTTCCTAAGGTAAAAGAGTGCAGAGCGAGCATGCAGCCCATTTGAAATTGTAGAGCAGAGGCTAAGATGCCAATCAGTGGTAATCAACGGTGTCTGTTTGGGAAATAGAAGTAACTACCAGTATCAATCCACTGATCATGGTCTCCTACCCTTCACGGGCACACTGTTTAATATACTTTCTCACACTCTGTTTTATGGGGATATCCAAGCTCCCATTTGACAGATGGGAACAGCAGACCTAACTTGCTCAGTCTTCCTCAGCCACCAGTGAGCCAGGGTTCAAGCCCAGATCCCCCAGGCTTCAAAGTAATGTTCCTTCAATAATCCTGCAGCTGTCTATTTGAAAATTTCAGGTTTTTTCTTTCTGTGTGTTGTTTGAACACATACATAACAGGTGGGAAACTGCCTTATAGCCTGCAGAGTTTCTTCAGGGTTCGGGAAACAGCCTGTAATGGCCATCAAATAGAGGATTTCTGCTGTTCCCAGAAACAGGGCTCCCAGTCAATCACCAGTCCTCAAGTCTCTCTTGCCTCCAGCACAGGGATCCTGCCCTTGCCTGGATGCCTGTGGATGTATTTTTAGAACTAGAGAAACGAGTGTGGGCGGTATGTATTTGGGGTGTTTTAGGGTCTATTAATAATACTTTTTGCTGAGGACACCCAGAATTTTAACTCAGCTAAGTTCAAGATGAATTTCCTCTGAAAGTGAGCTTGTCCTTCAGTGCCATCTATCCCCAGCATTGCTTCAAAATCTGTGTTCTGTTGTTGTTCTACTCCCAAGTGCGTCTCCTAGCACCTGGCCCTCAAAGACAGGGAATTAGTGGCTAGCAGCAGCCTCAGTTGATTGCTCTCCAAGAAGGCCAAGGGGGAAGCAAGGCTAATGCTCCTTGGCCTCTGTAGGGATTGGCCATGTTCCCTAAGATTCTTCGGCAGAAGGGGCCTGCTGTTTTTAAGATCTGACCAAACATCCATGGGTGGATCCTCTGCTCTTTAAAACTTCCTGGGGTCACTGAAATCTATTCTAGGGCACATAAAACATTCTTTTAGGAATGAGAGGATAGAAAGCCCAAACTGTGGGAAATTAATTTTAAAATGTTAAACTAAGTAAGATATTAGGATATTGACATATAAAATCTCTGCCTTTGGTAACATAACTGTGGCATTTATATTTAAAATAAAAATCTTTGCTCAAAATATTTCTTCTAGTTACCAGATTATTGGTGACAATCTAAAATGGTAAATGTGCTTTTGAAGTTAGTTTTATGTTAGGAACGTCACTATGAATATAAAAAGGAGTCAACCAATTCATAATGCCAAATTAAAACAAAAATATTAAACAAGATAATAACAGTGGGAATAAACTAAAACATCTTCAGTTTCAGAATCTGTGATGATGTTCCTGTCCAAGATCCCCATATAAGAGAGAGCGTGTGACAGAAGGGGGCCATGTATCGCCAGCCAGAACCTTTTCAGTATCTTCTTAATAACTAAAAAACAAAAACTCACTGTGTTCCGGAAAGCCTCTTAGCTAAATATTCTCCAACAAGCTCTCTAGCATGGTCTAGGAATAGTGCATATTTTAAGTACATTGGAGTAAAACAGAAAACCACTTTGGTTTGGGTAGGCTCTTCAGACAGTGGTAGGCACTAACAGCCTCCAAGAATCCCCTTTCAGTCTCAATAGCCTCTCTACCAAATGGAATCTCTAAAGGCCTTCCTAAAGCAATAGAAGCCAACATGAAGGTCCAGAGAATCACTACTGCTCTGTCCAATGCCACAGCCTTTCCTGAAGGCCAATCAAGAAAATCCTTGATCCAAATTACGCTCCTCTAACTGTAAATCTAGAGATCAGAGGCTGCTGGCCACCTAGCCAACATGGAAACACATCAAAGAGCCTCTACTGTCCCCACCTCCAGTCTGCACCTTCTGACAACAACAGCGTCCAGCTTTTGTTTAATGCCCCCCCACATGTTCCCGGAGATGCAAAGCAAGGCATCTCCCCCAACCCTCATCGCTTCCTACATTTGCCTGTGATGCTGAAAGATCCTGCATTTTATAAGAATTATGTGAGGGAAGCAGAACTTGCATTTGCTGAGCACACAAGCTCTCTTTCTAAACAACTAAGCCCCAAGCCCAAAGAAAGAACAACAAACCAGGGGCATACCCCTATTTACTGAATGAAGAATAAATGCTAGTAGGCATTATTTATTATTACTATAATATTATTATAGTATTATGCATATTATGTAATATTATAGTATATAATGTGGTATATTAATACTATTATCTATATTATTATTATTTTAGTTCTTAGGTCAATTCACTGAAGACCTTTAAATAGTGTACATTTAATATTTGATTACCAAGCCCATATGCAAAGGAATGATGTCATGCTTCACAGGCTGCCCTTATCTTGAACATCAGTATGAAGGGAGAGACACGAGCACAGGGTTTACAGAGTCATAAATACCCGCTCCCTAAACTCTGCTGCCCTTGAAACTGCTTCTGATTGAGGATTAGAATGTATGACTGACAGAGTGACTTGGGAACATGGGAATGCCCATATTTGCTTTCCATAATAGCCTCCTCTGCTCGATGTACCTTAGCAGCTTACCGTTCTCAAAGTGAGCTGAGTTTATTTCTTTCATGGTCTTGGACTATCCTTACCTGGTGCAGCACAGACTCAGCACAAGCAGTGGAAACTGGTTTTCATGTTCAAGAAACTCAGCAACGAGACATTTAAAACATCAATGAGTAGATACAGCTCCAACTGGGACTGAGAACTGCTGCAGACTGCATCCCGGTTCTGACTCCCCCACTGTGTAGCTGTGCAACGTGAACACATCATTTCATCCCCAGGGGCCCTCACTTTAAACAGAAGGGAGGAGAGAGAGGAAACACAGGGGACAGATAAATTTCCAGGTTTTGTCAGAACAAATCCACTCCCAGCCACTATGGTACTGAAATTCTGTGGTTCTGTAGTTTCCAATAGGCCCTCGGACGGCTTGGCACATTAGCAGCTGAATTTGCAAGAACTCAGAGGGTCAATATAAACACGTATTACTTTGTATAAGTTAGTATTGATCTTTAACCAACCCCCTTAAATTCAGAACAGAAGATTGGAAATAAAGCAAAGAAAAACGACACAATAGTTTTCTTTCTCTTTAAAGGGAAGCTGCAGAGGATGCAGAAGGCAATGAAGATGGCCAAAGATGAGGACGGGTCCCTCAACGCGGCCGTGAAAAGCATTCCCGCCTTTCCCCACTGCCTACAGCCCGAGGCTTCCCGAGCGAAGGCTCCTCAAAGACACCCCTTCCCGGAAGCCCTCCAGGGCCCCTTTTCCCAGTTTCGGTATGAACCTTCTCCAGGAGACCTTGATGGATTCCCCGAGGTCTTCGAGGGAGGAGGGTCCCGGAAACGGAAGAGCATGCCCACAAAGGTTCCTTACAATCACCCTGCAGAAGAAGCCTCGATTGCTCAGGAAAGCAAGAGCCTGGGCCCTCCGAACCTCGCTCTGCTTTTCCCTCAGCCACAGCGCCCCAAGTGCGACTCCCAGATGATCGACCTGTGCAATGTGGGCTTGCAGTTTTACCGCACCCTGGGGCACCTGGGGGGCAAAACTGTCAAGCAGGAGCCGGTGAAACCCAGTGCCATGTGGCCCCAGCCCACGCCTCCTGCCTTCCTGTCTGCGCCTTACCCCTACTACCCCAAAGTCCACCCGGGTCTCATGTTCCCCTTCTTCATGCCCTCATCCTCACCCTTCCCCTTCAGCAGACACGCCTTCCTGCCCAAGCAGCCCCCCGAGCCAGTGTTACCCCGCAAAGTGGAGCCCCTGGAGAGCGAGGAGACCAAGCAGAAGGTGGAGAGAGTGGACGTGAACGTCCAGATCGATGACAGCTACTACGTGGATGTGGGTGGGGCTCAGAAGCGCTGGCAATGCCCCACCTGTGACAAGTCCTACACCTCCAAGTACAACCTGGTGACCCACATCCTGGGCCACAGCGGGATCAAGCCCCACGCGTGCTCCCGCTGCGGGAAGCTCTTCAAGCAACTCAGCCACCTGCACACCCACATGCTGACACACCAGGGCACGCGGCCCCACAAATGCCAGGTGTGCCACAAGGCCTTCACGCAGACCAGCCACCTGAAGCGCCACATGATGCAGCACAGCGAGGTGAAGCCGCACAACTGTCGCGTGTGCAGTCGGGGCTTTGCCTACCCCAGCGAGCTCAAGGCCCACGAGGCCAAACACGCCAGCGGGCGCGAGAACATTTGTGTGGAGTGCGGCCTCGACTTCCCCACCCTGGCTCAGCTGAAAAGACACCTCACTACGCATCGGGGCCCCATCCAGTACAACTGCTCGGAGTGCGACAAAACCTTCCAGTACCCAAGTCAACTGCAGAATCACATGATGAAGCATAAGGACATCCGCCCCTACATCTGCTCCGAGTGTGGCATGGAGTTCGTGCAACCCCATCACCTAAAGCAACACTCACTCACCCACAAGGTATAGGAGGCTGGGGAGGGGCGAACCGGGCGGCAACCTGGGGTGGGTTGCCGGGTCACCAGGAAAGGAACAAAGCTGGGGACCTATGACCCCAGCCCCTACCTAAAATGCAGAGAAGTTCTGTGACACTGGCTAATATGCTCGCTTAACCTGATCCCCGAGACCCTTTCCCACCTCACATTGCAGTGAGAGACATGCCAGTACGCGATCACTTAAGCCCTTTCCCAGAATAGCCGTAGAGTCTAAGGTGCGACTGGAAATGACCAATGCAGACTCTTGGAGACGACAGTGAGGAAGGATGAAGGAAGCAGCTGGCTGCTGTGATATTTCTGCTTAGCCACTGGAATTCTGATTCTAGAAACTTCTTTTAGGGCACTAGTGAAAAACAAAACAAAAAACAACAACACGCATGTCATGAGACCTCAGATCATCACCCACCGTGCCTGGGCTATACCAATGAAATCTTCTTTCTAGAGAATTCTCTAAGAGCCTTTTGCAGCTGCAGCAGGGCCTATTTCTGGTTCGTTGGCTGGCCCTGCTGTGACACTTGCTTCCTTCAGGTGGCTGTAAATTGGAGCAGAGCTTAGCCTAGTCTCCCGGGGCCTGCTCTTCTGTCTGCTTGGGTTCACTAGTCTGTGATATCTTTCTGGGAAGCAGAAGGAAGCACCCTTCTCTGCTGGGTTTTGATTTCTCTGGCCTCAGATCTTCACAGAGCAATGCAGATCTAAGGCTCAAGTTTCCGCCTCATTTGTAGCTAGTGATTTGGAGTTTACCATAGGAGTAGGCAAGCCCCTAGAGGCATCTTGAGACCTTACCCAAGTGAGCTTTCACTTAGGTCTGCCAAGAGAGGACTTTTGCCTCTACTGACCTCTAGTCTTATCCTTGACCTCAGTGGTTTTCTTGGCAAGAAAGACTTCTAGCAAACCAGAGTCTTTAAAACATCCTTTATTTCCAAAGGTCATCAGGGGGCTGGCCATCAGAGGCCAGCTGCAGCTCTGCTTTCCTGGGTTTCCTTCATTAGGTTAGGACAAAACACAGTGCTCTCTGGCACTGCAGCAGAGATGTACTTCCTGTTGGACAAAAGGCATTCATAGATACTTCTGAGGGGAACTGGCTGACAAGTGAGGGAACCATCAACAGAGGACTTGAACTTCGATTTGGCCACAAAGGCACCACTGGCTTAGTTCATGGGTTCCTGTGTGTGTGGGAAAGGAGTCCAAGGTTATTGATTTTACTCCATATGGATTTGGGTAATAGAAAATGTATTTCAAATGAAAAAAACAACCTGTTGTCCAACATATGTTTTCTTCAAATTGTTAGACAAAGTGTGCTTTTGGTAGACACATGGGCAAACACAGGATTCTTACTCTGTGGTAGTTCATAACTCATTCCTACAGATTCTCAAAGATGCTGGGTCTGCTTCTCACTGAGAGTGAAGAACCAAGACATGATTCTGTCTCTCAGAACAGCAGCACCAGCACATAAAGCTTTGTTTATTTGTTTGATTTATTTAGTTTTTTTTAAAATTTTTGTATATGTTTGCTTAGGTGTGCAAAATGCACCGGTGTGTGCACACAGAGGCCAGAGGTCAACTTGAGGTGTCTGTCATTACTCTCCACGTAATGTTTTTTGAGATAGGTTCTCTCACTGAGCCTCTGGCTATCTTCCTAACTCTGCCTCCTAGTACTAGGATTACAGACACCCCTGCTACGTGTGGCGTTTTCTGTGGGCTCTGTGAATGCTTACCCACTGCACATTTTACCCACTGGGCTAATTCCCAAGACCCAACAATGAATTATTTGAGTTTTTCGTTTTGTTTTATTGGGTTTTAAGATGGAATTTTTCTGTGTAGTCCCAGCTGTCCTGGAACTCCCTCTGTAGACCAGGCTGGCCTCGAACTCACAGAGAGCCATCTGCCTCTACCTCTTGAGGGCTGGGATTAAAGACATGCACCACCACAGAGCAGCCAACACCAAATCTGTAAACACTGTATTAACAAGACTGTTTGCTGGCTCTAACCACTCTCACGGGCTCCTTCTTCCGTCTGGTTTCATTGATACTTTCAGAGAGGCAGTAGTTTCTCTTAAGTTCCACAGTGTGTCCAGCTCTTCTCTGTCTTCTATGCCAGCCATTTGTGAATCCAGTCTGGGGACAAAATTCTCTAAAGTATTTCCAAGACAGTCATAAATACCTTCTCTGTAGTCCCAGGACAACTGGATCTTACCCAAGCCCAGAGAAAAATCATTCCTTTTCCTTCTTCGTTGTCCCCTACACTACATATAGTTTCTGAGAATTGAACCTATGGACTTAGGCGTGCAAGCACTGAGCTGTACTCAGCCCCACAGAATAGCAGGCCAGAAGGAAAAGGCTGCTATAGTAAATTTGAAAGCCCATCAAGAAAATAATTGTTGATTTTACGATTTTAAATGCACTGAATATGTAGGTCGTTTACAAAACTTATCTCGGAAGGCATTAAAACCTAGTTTTGAGTGAAAGTTGATTCCTGGTCTTTTTAATAACATAAACCTGTCCTTATCTGCAATCATTTAGGATAGAAAGCCTTTGCATCAGAGAGAACCCAAGGAGTCTCAAGACTCTTTTCTTGAGATAGGGTCTCATGTTTCCCAGGCTGATTTCAAATTGCTTTTAGGCAGAGAGTAAACGTGAACTTCTGGTCCTCCCGCCCCTGGGAGCTGGGATGTGCCACTGTACTTGTTTATGCATGGCCAGGGTTCCAACCCAGGGCTTCATGCATACAAGACAAGTACTTTACCAACAAAGTTATATACCCAGCCCCCACCACTTCATCCTGAGAAGACAAATCTTCACCAGGAAAGACCCTGGGACTTAATTCTTTAAGATTTCATAATCAGTAGATGATTGGACAGAGACATAAACCCACCCCTTAGTGCTTTGAGCTCACTAAAGACTGCTAACTTCTTATCATGACCCCAACTCAAATAAGTGAGGGTATAGTTAAAGTCAGAGCTAACCTGGAATCCCTCCTTCCTTAGACGACTTATGGATACCAGACAGTACGGATCCTTGAGGTGCTGATTTGATAATTTGTTCTAATCCTTATTTTCATGCCAAGGTTCTTTGAATCTTCCTTTTTAAGTCATTCTTGCCTGGAACAGCAGTCTACACTTGTAGTCTCAGCTAACCAGGAGGCTGGAGCAGGAGGATTGCTTCAATTCAGGAATTCAACACTAGCCTCAGCAACATAGTGAAGCTCTGTATCAAAGAGTCACTAGGGCTCTAGAGAGATGCTAAGTGGTTAAGAGCACTTGTTGTTCTCGCAGAGGACATGAGCATGTTTCCCAGCATCCACATCGTGGTTGTCTGTAACTCCAGTTCCAGGAGATCTGATCCCCTATCCTGACATCCTCAGGCATGTAGGTAATATACATACATCCATACATACATACATACATACATATATACATACATGCATGCATACATACATACATACACACACAGGCATTCATACATATAAAATAAAAAAATCTGACACTGTTCTTAAGTCACTGTGGATGGAGACATTTTGCACAGGCCTTTTCTGGGAAGTGAAGGTTGTTGAGATTATTAACATTCTGTCTGTGAGTCCCTGGAAAGGCTCTGAATTGAAGGTCTCAAGATCCAAGCATTTAAACACTGCTCTCTAGACAGTGGGGAAACCAGACGACCTTCTGTTCTATTTTCCAATTTAGAAGGTTATCCATGGCAATTTTCCACAACAGCAGCAGCTGGACTACAGAGGCTCCGGAGTTATGGCCCATGGGTCAGCATGGCCTGTGGGAACCCAGAAGACCAACAGGAGAGGGCGATTATTTAGCTATAATTGAGTGAAGCAAGGATGTGTGGCTCTTTTGGGACTTTTGAATCCATTAGTGAGAACTGGTGAGACATTGGCTTCCTTTTGAGAAATGACATTATCGGTTTAAATTTTTTTTTCATCCTCATGGAAGCCAGATTAGAGATTCATTTCACATATCATTTTACAGTCCTCTTACCAAAATCGTATTAATCCTCTCCTCCCGTTGCTGTAGAATTAACCCAGCAGCAGCGGGAACAACAGAGGCTTTCCTTCATTCTAGTGGCCGGCTAGTTTATGGTGTTCAAAATAAAGGAATCCGGTAGATTATGTGATCAACACTTCCAAAGATATAATAATTTAACACAGCTAAAGCTGTGTCATTGAAGACTTCACTTTGATCCATTACTTGTGGATTTACGTGTCAAGAAGCAACAGCCTATCACACTCGTGACAGCCTGGCTAACACGCAGCCCTCTCTGGTTTTGAATCTTGCCTCTGCACAGGGTGTGAAAGAGCACAAATGCGGGATCTGTGGGCGTGAGTTCACCCTGCTGGCCAACATGAAGAGACACGTGCTGATCCATACCAACATCCGGGCCTACCAGTGTCACCTCTGCTACAAGAGCTTCGTGCAGAAGCAGACCCTCAAGGCACACATGATCGTCCACTCGGATGTGAAGCCTTTCAAATGCAAGGTGGGGAGAAGGAAGGGACTCCAGGGACTATGCAAATGTCTGTCAGGAAAGACCCTGGGAAACCTTCTACCAGATTTCTTCAGTAGTATGAGGCTCAGAGGAGGTCTGTGGCCCAGTCCAAGTCACCACACCACTCTGACCCTGATTCTGCCACCTGAGCTCACAGCAGTCCTTCTCTGGTTCATGTTCATGTGACTGTGGCCTTACTGCTTGGGTCAGGGGCAGGGAGTGGGCAGGCAGTCATGAAAACTCTAATCATAGAAAGTTCATTACAGAATAGCTAATAAGAGGATGAAGGTGACAGGGGACACTAGACCAGAGAGAAGTAACCAGGCTGGCTCTGCTTCTCTTATAAGCCAATGAATCGTCACAAAAAGGAATCTGAAAATCTAACACATTTTCCCTGTCCTGTCTTGACACTTGGGCTCAATCTTACAATGTGAGGGCAGACCTCCCAAAGAGGATCCTGGCATGCTAACTTCATGCTCTCTGGATAGAGCTTCAATGGTCAGATTGCTAGTTCTTAAGATAGTTGTAACAATATTCACCATAGCTGTGGAACCAACCTACGGGCTCATCAGAGGATGATCAGGAGAAGAGAGGCTGTATGTATATGCAATGGTGTACTATTCAGTCACAAAAGGAACAAACCCCTGGATCTATGTCAAACATGAACGGAGACCATATTGGAGGACAAGATGTTAAGAGAAATAAACAAGGCACAGAGAGACAGATACTGCATGCCCTAGCTCATACATAAAAGCTAAGTTGACCTCATAGAGGTACAGTGGAGAAGAGTGGTTACAAGAGCTTGGGAAGGGGAGGAAGGAGAGGAGACAGAGGTTGGTTAGGTACAGAAATAAGAGGTAGATAGGAGGAATATGGTCTGGTGTTCCATAGCACAGCAAGGTGACAGTTATGAAGGCGTTATCGAATATTTCCCTGAAAGAAAGACAGAGCACCCCCAACATCAAGACCTCGGTAGTGATGGTATACTGATGACCATGATATGCTTTCTACATGTTCTACACATGAATCTAGGTCTACTGTACCTGACATAGATGAATAGTTACTGTATGTCAATTCAAAACATTCTGAAAAAGTACAAAAGGACCCAAAGCTAGCCCTCCAAAGGATTCCAGAAACACGTGTGTGGAGCAAATGTGAACTGAGTCGCTACAATATTTCTTCTTTATAGCCGAGTACCACGTGGCCCAGGGCCTCAGCTCTGTTGTTGGAGTTGCGGTTATCAGATTACTTACACTTTGGTTTATTCTTATTTTATCACTGAGAGGGTGTGTGAGCTAGAGATCTTACAAGACAGCGGCTATCCAAGGCTGCCCTGCTCCATGCCTGTTTCCAGGAGAGTTGCTTAGGCCTGCCTGGGTAGTTGGAGGACTTCAGGGGTGAGTATCATCCCAGTCAGGAAGAGAGGGCAGAACGGGAAGAGGAAATACTGCGTTCAGACAGTGGAGTGTGTCTGTGTGAAACCTAAATTTTCCTTTTCTGCTGCTGCATGTGGGTGAGCATGTGGGTGACTCACTTGCAAATCTGCATCCCTGCAATTGGATTCTCTTCTTCCGGGAGGGGTTGCTGGCTTGACCCCTTGGCAATGTGGTCCCCACTTGAAGGAATCCCTGTGAAGTGGCCTTTTTTTCTGTGTTGGCAGCTACTCGACAGGGTGAGAGGTCAGGAACCAGAGCTTCCCTAGGCCGTGTGGACATTGTCTGGAGAGGGGCCTTCTCCCTGACTCCTTTCCTGCCACCCGCTCCTGTTTCCCCTTCTTCTCTCCAAGCTTTCAGTGGTTTGAAGGCCACATTATGTCTGTCTTGAGTGTATGAGCTAAAGGAGGTGGCCGATAGATGTGCGGCAGGGCCCAGTATTGAAAGGAAAGACAAGGCTTCTTCACAGGGGTTGAGCAACTTCAAGAGCAAATAAAGCATTAACTCAGACCAAGGACCCTCCTGACAAAAGCCCATGAGCACCCCCAACTCTCTGGACTCCACAAACATCCCTTCCCTCTCATCTCAGACACCCCTCTATTTTCTTCTCACTCCATCAACTCCACCCCCCTCATTGACTGACCGTTGCAGTCTGCCCTGCCTGCAGAGATTTAGTAGAGGTGCCAGCAGGCTCTCCTACACTTGAGCGTCAAGCATGAACCGCATTAATTACCTCACCAACTCTTGGTTACAGTACAATCGTTATTATACAAAGGCAGATAGCTACCACTTAGTTTATTCTCCAGAGAAACCCACAGCTGCTCATTCCAGCCACCCTTCCATCTGTACTGGATCGATTCTGATCCCTCGGCAGAAATGTTGTCTTGGGGGAACCCCTGAGGTGGAGAGGTGGGTCAGAGCAGACATAGCCAGGGGAGAGTCCCTGAGGTGGAGGTGTGGGTCAGAGCAGACATGGGGGGGGAGGCCCTGAGATGGAGGTGTGAGTCAGAGCAGACATAGCCAGGGGGAGTCTCTAAAATGGAGGTCAGGACAAAGCCAGTCAAAGCAGCGTGGGCATTCCTAGAACAGTTCTGTTTCCCTACCCTCAAAGGCCTACAAGATTTATTGGGCCTGATAGTACGTGAACATCCAGAAAATTCTCTGTAGTACCAGGGCACGAAAGCTGCTCAGAGTAGTGTACTCGGGGGCCTAATGCTTCAGTGGGCCACCCTGGATGGGTGTTTTTGGCCTCTGTTCTCAGACAATTATGCCCTTCTCCACCCTGATGACTGTGCACCATACATGGTCCCAAGGTCACGGGACAGTCAGCTGTGTGGCTCAGAAACTTCATTTTACTTTCCTTAAGGGTTTCTGAGGCTCTTGATGTCTGGCTCACATCACCAGATCCCATAAGAAAGTGAAATCCCAGCTTTGACAGAAGAGGCAGTTTACCCTGAACACGGGGAAGAGGAGCTGGACTGCTCAACTACCGGGCTTCTCTCAGAAGGCCAGAATACAGCTCTTCACCTACAGAGTATTGTCTGTTATCGGGAAAAGCGATTTGGAGGATAAAAGGCGTTCTCACCAAACTTAGCTGGCCCTTCTCCAACACTTAGACATTTCTGAAATAACAATCTGTGTAGGTCACCTTGACTTTCTTCCTCAAAGCTCCAGAAGCATGCTGTCAGGTTCTTTTCCTCCTCGCTACCACTTCCTCACAGTGGCACCCTTTAGGCTAGCCTGTGGTATCATCACTCTTCATCATGTGTGTGTATGGGTGCCGTGTCAAACAGGTTCCTTCACATGCCTGAAAACCATAGAGTAGAGAAATTTGTAAAGCCTGAGACTCTGGTTCACATCTCTCGGAAGAGCAGGGTGATCCTGGGATGTCCTGTGACCTTTGCTTCCTACCCATGTTGAGCTGGATAGAAATCTGTCCCTGGATGAAGGCTGTAGGATATTGGAAGGGTTAGAGAGATGGAGGCCACTTACTCATTGCTACGCACTTCATAGCCAAGTGAGACAAATGTCTGGCCAGCCACATAGTGACGGTGAGAAACAAGCCTAGCCAATTACACCCAAGTCTGATAGTCATGGCAAAGACAGTTATTCTCTTCTCATGATTGACATGGATGGTTTAAAAAGGAGGGTGGGGGAGGCTTCCTGTTGCCACACTGCAGACCTGAGCTAGCTCTATTGCCTTTCCTCAACAATCAGCCACAAGAAAGATTCAGCAACAGATTCCAATTTCTTGGGATTTTTGCCATTAAAATCCCCTCCCCAACATAAGTCCCCCTATTGCAGCATGAAATAGTTCTCAGTGGAAACAGCTGTCCCCAGTGAGCAGAAACGTTCTCTGGCTGTAGAATCACACATTACCAATAGGACGGAAAATGAGTGGAGAGCGAAGTTTTCCATTCTATGTTTCTTTCAAATATATATATGACTGCCCTTCTGGATTCTGGCTATTGGCTCAACTTCTAGACTCCTTGCTCCTGGCAGCCAGCTGGAGTTTGTCCAGAGACCCAGCCTGTAGGCTTAAGCTATGTTTCACAGATATGCTTCCCAGATTTGGCGTAAGCACGCAGCTCTTGATTTGGATACTATCTGCGTAGTGGCGGCACTCCATAATAGCCAAGAACCAGCTGCCGTCTTTGGAAAACCTGTCCAGGAAAAGCTTCCATCCAGAATTTCCGGGACAAATTCTCTTTTGAGATGGGCGAAGCCCAGAGCTGCCTAAGTTATGAATCACCAGGTCATCTCTAGCCTTTTCTACAGCAGAGGGCTGAGGGGAGGCCTGTCAGTGGGGCAGACAAGTGAAGATAGTTGCCTTGAAAAGGGGGTTCTACTTCCTGTCCCAGACTGTGGGCTGTTTGGCACACTGAAAGGAGAGAGATCAGACTGGGTAGTTTGTAGGGATTCAGTGCCCGCGGTGAGGGTTTTCAGGTTGGTGTGGAGGGGGTTAAGGCAGTGACCAGATAGCAGCCTTTTGGCAGCAAAGCCCTCCTCCTAGGCAGAAGGAAGGATATAGCTGCATGAACTGCCTGTTTAACAATGCCTCACATGTCCCCAGGGGCCCGCCTGCAAATAGATTTCATCTTGCTTTCTCTTGTACTTTTCAAAGCTTCCTGTTTTCTCACGGTCCTTTTGGACAGTTTACACTCTCTTTCCCTCCCTCCCTCCCTCCCTCTCCCTCTGAGGAAAGGAACACCCTTCTTATTAAAGAGGAGAGAGAGAGAAGAATGTAAGGGAAGGGCGGCTGAGCAGAGGCCATTCTCTTGGGCTGGCTGAAGCTCTTTGACCTCTCCTCTCTGGAAAGGAAAACATAGCTTCCTGGTGCATCTTGGCTCTGAAGCTCACCTCAGGCAGTTGTAGCCAGGTCCAGGGCTGCTTGGCCTTCTGAGCCTCTGGACTCAGCCAAGTGGTGGCTGCCATTGCTCCATCTCTGCCCACTGCTGACCTCTCTGTGGCAGCTGCTGCCTCAGGGGCTCATGGGAAGCTAGCAGCTCCAGGCTCTGTATCTCAGGGTGGAGGTTGGAAAGGGCACCAGGAGGCCAGAGCAAGGAGGCTGAAGCAAAGAGGACACATGCCAGCTGTTTCAAGGACATCCTGGACATCAGAGAGACAGATGGTGGGCTTTCCAAAAGCCTGTGATCTATAGTGAATCTCTGCTTTCCACCCATGAATCCTGGGGCTAGACTTCTCTTCAGCCCCAGGTCACCTGGCAGGAGTTCAGCCAGAAGATTCGTTTCCGTTCCTTTGATGTTTGAAAAGCACAGCACCCTAGCTGGAGTGCAGTGGCTCACATCTGGAAGGATGGAAGCTGGGTCCCCAACCCTCCACCAGTGTCACTCTTACTTTGATGCAGACCTTGTTAGGAAGGAGATCTTTCATCCAGTCCTGGCTTGGGGATGCACTTACATTTTCAGTTCAGGAAGTCTTGCCTTCAGCTACTGATTTTTTTTTCCCAGAGAAGAAATAAGTTTTGCTGGTCCCTCTGTACTCTTGCTTCTGTCCCCAGTTGCAGGGACTCTGCTTTGAGCTGACATTCCAGGACTCTGTCGGCAGCAGATCTCAGCCTCTTTTTCTGACCCCTCTTCATTGTCAGAGTGGAATGACTCTGTGTTTCACAGACATAAAAACAAAACAAAACCTCTCCATACTTGGGCATTGTCACGTGAGGACACTCTTCTGGGAACTATAAAGAAGCAAGTGTTCTGAGTGAGAACCAGAGGACTCTGTGGAGGTCAGAGGTGGAGGAAGACATGGAGTAGCTACTGCTGATTCGTAAATGAAGGCCAGGTGCTTCAGGTCCTCCATGATCTGACTCCACCCCCCAGCAGTGAAGGTTTTAGTTTAGGAACTGGTGTGCCTGCAGGCGAGTGGGGAAATGAGGAGGACCAGTAATGGCTGTATTTTAAGGTTTTTGTATAAGGTGATGCTATCTTCCTGGCTTGTCCCTGATACTGAAATTGGTTACAAAGAAAATAGAGATGAGCCTTGCATTAAAAACTGCCTGGGCCCCTTTTGGGCCTTCAGACACCTATTAGAGTTGACATGCCTCCACCTACCGCTGTGGTATCTCTGCATTGTTACAACCAACAGGCTGCCATGTGTTATGCAGGGCAACTATATTATTAAAAAAAAATTAAGCTTGCCAACAGCACAGAAACCAGAATCAGAGCTGACCCATTGTGACTCACAGTGGACCTTCCTTCAGGCCATTAGAATTACTGTGGAGTGCAAAATATTTTTTTTGTCATTTTGGTTTTTTGAGACAGTGTTTCTCTATGAGGTCCTGGCTGTCCTGAAATTCATTAAGAACACCACTTTTGCCTTGAACTCACAGATCTGACAATATAATTTTAAAGCCGTAATGTTCCCATATGCCACTAAAATGTCCCAAAAAGTTTCATGATGAGTGAATTGAGCCAGAAAATCTGTAACAGTGAACAATCAATTCGCCAGGCTCTCGGAAAGGATCATTCTAGTCAGGTTTCTGTTGCTGTCATGAAACACCATAACCAAAGCAACTTGGAGAGGAAGGGGTTCATTTTTCAGCTTACAATTCTAGGTAACAGTCCATCACTGAAGGAAGTCAAGGCAGGAACCTGGAGGCAGGAGCAGATGCAGAGGCGATGGAAGATGCTTTCTGGCTTGCTCAGCATCACTTGCTCAACCTGCTTTATTAAAGAACTCAGGGCCAGCAGCCCAGGGATGGCACATCCACAGTGGGCTGAGCCCTCCACATCAGTCACTAATTAAGAAATCTTGGCTCTTAGGGAGGAATTTTCTTAATTGAGTTTCCCTCCCTTTAGATAACTCTAGCTGGTGACAAGTTGACATAAAACTAGACAGCACACTTGTCTGAGGCTGAAGAGGAACCTGCAAGATACCCAGAGGTAGTCATTATGACAAGCACAGAACTCTGAGGGCAGATTTGTGGTGAGGGAAATTTGAAGGTTGATGGGTAGAACCTTGGGGTAGATGAATTGCAGGATCTCTTCCTATCCCAAGTCCCAGGTATGATGGCTACGACAACTCTAAGCAGTTGACCCTTTTCACAATGGCAGCAGTTCACCTGTAGTGTAAGGGAGGTACATGCTTGTGCCAAATCAAAAGTAAAGGAAAAACCACACATCCTTCAAGAAAGGGATGAACTACCTGCCGTGTGTGTGTGTGTGTGTGTGTGTGTGTGTGTGTGGTGTGGTGTGTGTGGCATGTTCATGTGGAGGCTAAACGTCAAGCTCAGAAGTCATTCTTGAGAAGCCATCAGGTTCTCCGCCCCCCACCCCCCGTTAAGTACCATCAGTTAGGCTAGGCTGTCTGTCTAATGAGCTCCAGGGACCTGCCCATCTCCACCGCCTCAGCGCTAGGGTTGCAAAAGCAGCGTATCACCACACTCAGTGGTGGGATTCTGACTTGGGTCCTCATGCTTGTATAGAAAGCACTTTACCAACTAAGCTGTTGCTCCAGATCTATCTCGCTAGTGAAGCATTTTTTTCAGGCCAATCCAGAGTCTAATACCTGGGCAACACGAGAACAACTAGAAGAAGAATGTCTCCCACCACGGAAGCCAGCACAGAGGGAGGGCTGTTTCCTTCGCTTTCGATGATATCTGTCTGCTTTACAGGGGAGCATCTGACTCATCTGTGTTTGCTGTAGAGGGGAGCATCGGACCCTCTCCATGGCTGCACTTGCTTGATGATTGAAGTCATCTGTCAGCGCTCAGCTTCTCTCTCCTGCATAACTTCTGCTCTCCCACTTCCGGCTTTTTTCTCAAGTTCTTCTACGGCAACATGCCCCACCCACTAACAGAGGGTCTGCCATGTGTCAGGCATACACAAGGCAAGTTGCAATCGAAAGGCAGGCAGAGCCTGAACACTCAGTTTGCCAGGCAGGGCACATACTACCAGTGTTGATTTGGTACTGGTCTCAGCAATTGCAACAGCATAAATCACCCCATAAAACATGAGCTGTGTTTCTTTTCCTTAAAATGTTCTTGGACTAGAAATGCCTAACATGGATCTTTAGATCTGAAGGTTTGTTCCTCAGCAGGCAAGCTAAGGTAACTATTATAACTATAAAAAGAAAACAACTTTAGGCGTATGCAAAACTGAGCTCAGGTTAGCAAGTGTCTCCATGAGTTCTGTCTAGTGAGAAGAAAGGAAGTAGCCATCCTACATATGGCTTCTCTTTGTGGAAGTTGGAATTGGGTCAGCTTTCCCATTTTTTCCTCCTCTTAAGCTGTCATTTCTTGTTGTTGGTCCCTCATCCGTGGTGGAGCTCAAACCCAGTGCTTACACGTGCTGTGCAAACACTGTACCTCTGAGCCGTATCCCCAGGCTTTGGGTCACTGTCTTCTAATGTGTATGCTGTATACTCACTCTGAGCTAAGAACTCTGCCTAGGATCGAAAATTCATTCTTGCTAGCAAGGAATTAGAGGGGAGAAATGTACACCAAATCCTCAAATAGGTACAGAGCCAACCACTCATAGTTTGTGTGTGGATTGTTGGGTCTGCTGTGTAGCCCAGGCTGGCTCCTCAGAGCCTTGCCTCCCAGGCTGCCTTGCCTCCCAAGGTCAGTCTTGTCAGCTCTGCCCATTCTTCCAAGGTTAGCTTTGTCGCCCTTCCCTCAAGAAAACAGTGTAATAGAAATTCAATCTAGAATCTTCAGCATTAGCCTCAAAGATCTCTGTCAGTGAGAAGAGAAAGCGGATTTAAGCCCCAGAGGATGCCTTACCTCACATCCCCCCATGTGGTTTCTCTCAGGGACTGAGGGCAGAGAAGAATGCTCTGCCATTACTTAACACACTGGTCTAAGCGCTACACAACCAAGGAAAAGCTGAAGCTTCCAAATGTTGCTCTCCAGAGGCACAGGAACAAAATGTACTCCACAGTCACCATTGTCCATTTTCTTCTGTGGAGAAGTATCAGCTCCCCTCTTGAGATCTGTCATGTATACACCCACGCTGGGTGACTGACCTGCATGCACATAGGCCCACACAGGTACACATCCATGACTCAGACATACACACAGATGAATACATTTCTAAAAGTTTGCTTTTGTCTATGTCTATGTCTGTCTATGTCTATATATGACAATATTCTCATTTCTTTGTATCTCTACCTAGAGAAAAGATGGCTTCTTTCTTATATGTCTGTCTCTTTTAACTAGCTACATAAGAAGTTTGAGGTCAGCCTGGACTACATGAGACCCCACCACAAAACAAACAAACAAACAAACAAACAAACAGCTTTAATTTCAAGCTTTGCAATTTGGGTGTTGAGTTTAGAGATCCTGGACACCTGTGTCTCACAACCCACTCCATCTGTCCTATTTCTGACACCCAGGTAGCACCTGGCCCCTCCCTGCCTGTCAGGGGGACATTGTCTTTGGAAGTAGTAATGGTACCAAGCAGGTGTGGCCAGGGCTCTCCAGCCCCATATCATTAGAACATGGGTTCTCCCTGGCAAGATCACTGTGCCTTGGTCTCTGTCTCCAACAGCTGTGTGGGAAGGAATTCAACAGGATGCACAACCTGATGGGCCACTTGCACCTGCACTCGGACAGCAAGCCCTTCAAGTGTCTCTACTGTCCCAGTAAGTTCACACTGAAGGGGAACCTGACCCGCCACATGAAGGTCAAGCATGGAGTGATGGAGCGAGGCCTTCATTCTCAAGGTACTGCCTCCACTGTGGTTGGAAGCTCTATCCACCATGCCCAGGGGATGACACATGGAAGAGTGGTGTGCTTTTATGGGGGGGGGAATTTCTTGGGAGTGGGGTTATTCCTGCCCAGAACAGGGGTGTATTTTAACGACCACAGCAGAGCAGACAAGAGTAAGAGTCACAGAGCAACTCTGGAACACAGTAATGATGGCAGTGGTACTGCCCTTGGCTCCTTTGTCTGAGGCAGTGCATGGCGTGCCTTATCTCTTTAAATCCTCAGTCACTCTCAGCTAGAAAAGGTCTATCATTGCCATTTTGCAGGTTGGAAATCTGAGACTTCCAAAGTTGCTCAATTAAACAAAAGAAAGAAAGAAAGAAAGAAAGAAAGAAAGAAAGAAAGAAAGAAAGAAAGAAAGAAAGAAAAGGCAGATTCAGGATTTGAACCCAGGCCTTTTCAGCTCAGTCTTTATTCTATCCTTACTATATTTCAACTTTATTATATATAGTCATTATTATATTATTACATATACTGGTCACACAGATGGATAACATGGGGGTTTTCTTCCATTTCCAAAATCAAGTGCTGGCTCTACATCCCACGTACCAGCAGAGATGTGTTTGCAGTGAGCGATGTTGCCTTTTCTGTTCACACAAGGACAGCTTTCTTATGGCCCCAGCTCTCATGTGAGCAGGGGTTTGTGTCTCTTGACTGAACTAATGAAAGCCTCTTGATTATTTAATCTCCTTAGCTCCAGGCCCTTGTCAGTGAAGACTTTATGTCCCAGGTCCCCTGAGTGCAGCAGGCTACTTAGTCACCTCATCAGCTAGCCCTCCAAAAACAAACAACAAAACAAATATATAAACAAACAAAAAAACAGACAACGAAAGCATCCCCCCACAAGCCGATGCAGACACAAAGCAGAGGGATGGGAGAGAGCACCTGAACGCTCTAGGTCTGAGTACAGAAAGAGAAGACAGTCACACACAGCGTTTAAAAATGACACCAACAGCTTTTTGACCATTAAGATGGTGACAGCTCAGGATAAGTCTTAGCAGCCTCCTCAGTCACCTCTCCCAAGTCAATAAGAGAGCCTGTCCTCATTTTGGGTCTGAGGAGACCTTGCAGGTGTCACATAAACTATCTGTGTCAAGCAGAGGTTTGCAGGCAGAGCTGGGACTCTAACTGGTCGGTATTCTGAGTCAAGCCTACAGTCACTCATCATCCCAGTCAAAATCATGGCTGACTTGTTTGTATTTATTTGTTGTTTGTATTCCACAATGCCTCTGTGTTTATGGTGACCCCTGGCTCACAGTCAACTATGATCATACAAATGAGTCTACGCAAAAACCTTAAAAAAAAATACTGGTTAAAAAGAGAATGTTTCTCTTTTCCTTGAGACACCCCTTCTCTTTAATTATTTATTGACTCTGGTTCGCCATGCCCTCTCCAAAGCAAAGCATGGATTTTTCTAAAAGTAGAGTTTGCTTTATCACTTGGGTGGGAAATAGCTATAACAAGAAGTCACCCATTAGAACCCAATGTGGTCACTGAATTACCCCACACTGAAGCTCATATCCTAACAGGTACATTGTGGCTCCTGTCATTTTGTGGAGTGGGACATTTTGGGAGAGTGTCACTGTGTGTCAGAGGATTGCTTTGAAAAAATTAAAAAAAAAACAAATTTTCAACAATTTTGGTGGCTTGATCTATATTTTTTTCTCAAAAAAAATCATTAGAAAGATGAAAAGATTCCTTTTGGCCCCTGACAAGATTAAAGCTATGGACAGCAGGCATCATTGTCCCTCAGAGCCCCGACCCTTCCTTTCTTCCCTCCCACTCCAACCTGCCACCTGCTGTATCCTGGACTCCTCCCTTCCTGTTTCTCAAACCCTCAGTGTCCCTGCTGTGTCACCACAGGCAGTGGCCTTGAACTGGAGATGAAATGAGCCGCAGTCTGTGCCCAGTGCTAATCCCTAATCCTTCTAGGTACCCAAACTGAAAGGAACCCACCCCCAGATCACCCTGCCCGTTGTATAGAGTGCATAGGGCCCACAGGCTATGGAGTTGCCTAGGTTTGTTTGTCTTTGTTTGAAGATGAATTATCTTTGCTATGGCTTTATTTATTTGAGGTCTTGAGACCTCAATATTTATTGAGGACTAAATGTTCTCTGTGGAAATAAAATGAGAAATACTTGAGAAGTGGAAAGAAAGTTCAGTAGCCACTTCAGAGTTCATCAGTTTTGAGATCTGAGCCTACATCCTTCCAGACAGTTTTGATAAGGAAAACAGGGGAAGAGAATAATATAAAGAAGTTGGAGGGGGAAGGGAGGGAGAGAGATTTTGACTTAGAATATACAGAGAATATGTGTATGTATTCTCATGTATGTAGACATTTTTATCACCCAGATATAGTTCATTGTGTAGTTCTAGTTATGTGTTTAAACCACAATTTAGATACTATTTTTTTTCATTTTTAATATAATAAAAAAATTCACTCATACTCTGCACTCCCACTCCTCCCCTTAATTTTTCTTATTTTAAATTCTCAGTAGAGACATGCTAAGTTGGGCTACACGTTCCCAGGCTTGCCTTAAAGAGTTCTATGGATTACAAGCTTCCCATGCCCGAGTCCTTAGTAAGAACTATTCTCCCCCTCCCATCCCCTCCACACCCCCTCCCGGTTTTTAAAATGAACAAGAGAATGCCTAAAGGGCCTCGGGCATAACTTTTCTCAGACACATAAATTCTGCTCTGGTCCTTCAGGTCTGGGTAGGGGACGACTCGTCCTGGCGCAGTCCACTGGTGTGCTGAGGAATCTGGAGCAGGAGGAGCCATTTGACCTCTCCCAGAAGCGCAGTGCGAAGGGGCCAATGTTCCAGTCTGACGTGGACAGCATGCAGGACTGCCTCTGCCAGGACGAGGAGGCCGGTGAAGAGGACAACTGCTACGAAGTGGAGCCCAATAGCCCCAGCCTGGCCCCGGAGAGCCAGCAGCTCTGCGCGCCTGAGGATCTGTCCACTAAGCAGGAGCAGGCTCTACAAAGCCCTGGAGAAGGATGCCGGGATCAGGATGTTCCGGAAGAGCAGCAGGAGGACAGTAGCGAGGACCACGAGGGCAGAGACTTAGACTGCGAGGAGAGAGACATAGACTGTGTCATCAGAGACGAGCGCCTGGGCAGCGGGCTGTTGCAAAGCGGCGGGCAGGGCCCCTCATTTTCTGATTACTTATACTTCAAGCACAGAGATGAGGGTTTAAAAGAATTACTGGAGAGGAAAATGGAAAAACAAGCAGTTCTTTTGGGTATCTAGGTGAATGGCTTTAAAATTTCATTTGGAAAAGGAGATCTAGGCAGTTCAACTATAGCTTTTCGTGCAAACTGTCATTTGCTGCAGACGGGAGAGTGACACCCGTCTTTAAAAATGGCTCAGATTAAATGCGTGGGTAACACTCGCTTCTCAGGTTGTTCCTTGGACACTTGGCAATTCCATACATGTCCAGGGGTCCTTTGGTGTTATTTTACACATCACCCACATGATGAGCTGTGCATTCTTCTAGATACCTAACTGCAATCTGAACTTCGAGGTGCTTTTAGACACTGTTTTCTCCTAACACGCAGTGATGCAAACGTCTTTCTAGTTGCAAGACTGTGGTGCTCATGTTATCTTAATTAGTGACTATTTAGTTGCATTTGTGAAGGTTACAGTATCATAGATGAAAATATTAGTAGGTGTATATATAAAAAATATAAAAATATAGCTTTTATTAAATAATAGAAACACAGGAAATGATGCAAGAGATGAACTGTTGGGAAGACTCAAGTAGTTCCTGCAAATGTGAAGTTGGGTTTCAGAAGAAGTTGAATCATTTTGACTAAGACAGAACCAGATGATGCTTAGACACCTGGTTGGGTCCTCTCTTCTGCTTCTGCTCTCCTGATCAATGGGACATTTGGGGCACTCTGGTAGACATCTGGATGATGCTTGTGGGGGTCCCAGCTCTTCAGATCAAACCGCTCCTCAAGAAGAACTTCCTCACCTTGCTCTGAGGCCTCCTGCCCCATGAAGCAACTGAAAGGAGAATTGCCTTTCAGGGTGAGCAGTGGAGCTTGGGCTATGGAATGGGGTCCAGGACTGCTCCCTAAAACAAACTCTGACTTATTTGAGTAGAGGGATGATCGCCAGTTCATCACCATAGGCAAGACCTGAGCTATTCTCTGAGAGCTGGCGACATGTGAGAATCATCCAGTAAATCCTTTAGAAAATGCTGATGTAGCTAGGCATGGTAGATCACAACTGTAATCCCAGCACTTGAGAGGCTGAGGCAGGAGGATGGCCTCATGTTTGAAACCACCCTGGATTATAAGCTCAAACCTTCTCTTAAAGGAAAAGGATGGAAGTAAGCAAAACCCTGTAAGATTCTGGGTTAATCCACCAGGAATGGGGCCCACCACTGGGAGTTTCCAAAGCACCTCCAGGTGCCTCTTGAAAAAAAAGAGCACTGGTCGCAACTAATCCTCACCCAGTTCTGTCCCCTGGGACTTCCCACTGTACAGACATAGTTTTGATCCCGTCTTTAGATACAGTAAGGTGGCAGGCAGAAGATCTGCAACCACAATGCTGACTTGGGCCTTTGTTCTTGCTTTGTCATCCTCCTAAGGATACACCACAAACATATATACACATACACACACACCTCACATACACACACACACACACACACCTCACATACACACATACCATATATCATACAACACATACCATACATCACACCACACACAGACACACACCATACACATACACACCACACACTGCTCACATACACATACATACCATGGACACACACACACCATACACACACACACACATACCACACACACTCACACACATCACACAAACACACCACTCACACACATACATCCACACATTGTAAATATACGCATGTGTGTGTGTGTGTGTGTGTACTAGAAGACAACACCTGTGATGTTTGTAGTTACTTAGTGCGTTGAAAGATTCATGGCTGGCCTATGATGACTCTTACTCTTGCCCAGATGTGTGAACTGCTGTTGCAGTGTACTGTGAGGATTATAATGGATATACTGGGCCTATTAGGCTGGCCTTCTTAGACCCTGCCACCACGGCAAGCAGCGCTGCATGGGACTGCGTTTGTGTCACTGACTCGGTAGGTTCTGCATTGTTTCTGTAAAAACTTTGGTTTACTGTCCTTTTGGTTGAGAGTGTCAACATTCTTGGTAAAGCAAGGTGCTAGGGACCACTTTGCTTCTCTCCTCCCCCAGATTCCCAGCACATTTGTCTAAGAGATGCAGTCTAGCTCTTACTACCAGAGGCAGCTTTCTTAGCCAACCAAGCTGCTTCTCCATGAGGCTCACCCAGTCTCCGCCATTCACCTATGTGCATGGACAATCTCTCAGCCTTCTCTCCTACTGACATCCTAAAATTCATTTCTTTGTCATGACTACCCCTGTGAAGGGCAAAAGGCTTGTATGTTTCCTACTTCCAGCTGTGCACATCTCTTGGTCATAACATCTGCAAAGGTGATGGATGGTGGGGAGATTTCTCTGGGTTTCTGTGGCCACGAGCGCAACTCAGGACAAAGAACTGTTGAAGGTCTTCAGAGGGGCAAGATCCCTTCTATTCACTTCGAGTGGAACTTCTGGGTGTCTTAGATAAAAGTGTCCAGGAGGCTTCATCCATGGATGGAGAATTGGGGCACATGTGCTGTGCATGACCACAGTTACACATACTTCCAGGTGCCTCTGGATGTCACATTGGAATAGAAGGAACCAGGAAAACAGAGAGGAGCAAATCTTGTAGGAATGTTTGAGAAACCAGTTGTGTCAGAGAGAGAATGGTCTAGAATGGTGGTTTGAGAACAAGTTTTGAAGAGTTGGATATCCCATCATAGGCCCCTCCAGAGCTGGAAAAAAAAAAAAGGAGATACCCAGCTCCCGGGGCCATTTCACTCAAAGTAGCAGACTTCATGGAGGGAGAAGGAAGATCCAAAGAAAGAACCGCAATGTAGTGGGGATATGCCCCTGAGCCTGGCTCTGGCTTTTACCTCCCAGTATGGAAGACTTAGTAGCTATAACCTGAAGGACAACCCAACACTCCCCTGAAAGTAATGCCAGCCCCAGGTTTCATGTGCAGAGAAGGCAGCAGTCCTCATTTACATCTATTTTCCTAACACAGCCTTTGGTATTGTTCCTTGGCTTCTCAAAAGCATCCCAAGGAGTGAGGTCAGCTTCCTGGACACTGGAAAAGGTGTGGCCAACCTTGATCTGATTAACCAGATACAAATCTGAAGTAGGCCTCATGGAACCCATCTCAGCAAACCAAAGAATAAAGTCATCCAAGGTCACCACCATTCCAAAGCTTCATCCTTCATCATATTATAGAATTCTGAAAAGAGGTCAGACCTAAATGTTCCCCAGCCTTTGGACCATCATCTCTTTGACTCCCAGACTTTGGACCAATATCACATTGACTCCCAGACTTTGGGCCATCATCACTCTGAACTGGCTAACCATCCAGCCTAGTGGCATATTTGTCTCCTGCCCTTTTAACTCGGGCTTGCAATGGTCCCCCTTAGTTTATTTGTATCCCTCTTTCATCCTTTTATGTTTTTTAGACTTGGATCTCCCTTTGGCCATGACACTGGAGCCAATCTTTCCAACGTCAAAAGGAGCTAATAGGTATATCTGGATGTAAGTAGTTGCAGAAGAAAGCTCAATCACCGTGCGTTCTGTATTTATTGAGCCCCAAAGACAGTCAATAAAATATTAACATTATGTTTTGAATTATGCTCTTTCTCTGCTTTGCTGAAACAAAATGTAACCAAGCTAACATTTCAAATCCTTCACATTTTTGGACAACATTACATCAAATGTTGCTTTTTATACAGAATTTGGGCTTGTGAGTAAAAAACTAAAGCTCTAAGCGTCTAGCAACCCAAGTTGTGAATGTTACTTCCTGTTTCCAGGCAGTTTACCTGTAAATGGCATGTAACCTGTGTTTTGTTAATTTAAGTAAATAAAAAAAAAAGTTGAAAGAATGGTGTTACTTATTTGCCAGTACTTAGAAATTGGAAAGGAAGCTACCAAAATACATAGTTACTAAGGTTTCTCTTGCTTAGAAGTGCAAAACCTGGTACAGGTTTGTTCTCCAGGAAGCAGATGCTAAGACAACTTGGTGGGTAAAACATTTATTTAGGATTAACATGAGTGAAAAGAAGAGATTAGAAACCTAGCAAGAACAGAAAAGCTTCCAGTGTAGTTCTAGGCCACAGTTAGTCCTGGTAGGCGGAGCTGAGGCAAAGACCTTCCAGCCTGCAGGGCTGGGACAGATTGGGCAGGAACATCTAGGTCTCTCCTACCACCATCACTCCAAGTTTTCTCAGCCCTCACCCAGGACCAGAGGTGGGCTGCCCTGAGAAGATCATGCCCCAGCATTTGGGACTGACCCTATGGGGTACACATCTGGGCCTGACTGCTAACTCTCTAAGCAGCTACATGTTTTTCCTTGGAGGAAAACCAGGGTTGGTGGCATCTTCTCTGCATCTCTCAGTGATGCTGCCTCTGGCATCACTCCAAGTCTAGAGATCCATGGACCTCCACTGGAAGGTTCTGGTAGGCTTTTCATGGAGAGGGAATCTTAAAAAAGGAAGGTGAAAGAAATTCTAGCTCCTTTACCTGCAATGTGTCAGGGTCTAAAGTATGGGACTACACCCGTTTCGACTCCTTGTCTCTGGACACACACTGTCTTCCTCCTGAGTATGTAACACCCTTAAAAGCCTTTGATCCACAAATAAACTGAAGAATGGTACCCAACCCTCTCAGACTATTTCTTATAAGAAGCATCATAGGGAACATTCAGTCATGGGTACCATATGTGTGATACAGCCAGTGGGCCTATCTCTTGGTTTTACTTACTATGTAAAGTCAAGCTCATGGCTTGATATGATGGTGTGTGAGTTTCTATGCCAGCAGAACAGACACTCCATAACCAACTTGCACAATAGTTTGGGATAAGTTCTTACATGCAGCAAGAACAACTTACAGAGGGAATCTGGGTCTGTTCCCGCTGTCTCTTTGGGAAGAGCAAACCTGTTACCAAATGATTGTTCTCGAGCAATGGGCTCATGTGGGGGGAGCTTGGCATCACTCTTCACAAATGGTCCATTCAGGAATGGTAGAAGGCCCTTAGGCCTTAGTTGGTGTAATTCAGGGTGCCAAGCTTTCAGGGTCCCCTCTACCTCTGTACCCATGGCTGCTTCATGCAATGTGCTTTTTGTTCCAGCACTGAAAAGCTACTGACAGAGGCTGATGTCCACTGGCAAGGTCATTTGATCTGCCATGTCACCTTCCTTTTTTAAGATTCCCTCTCCATGAAAAGCCTACCAGAACTTTGCAGTGGAAGTCCATGGATCTCTAGACTTATTAGGACTTGTTAGGTCCATGTTAGGTGTTAGCATGTGACACAAAGGTTTTCCTACTTCTATTCATTTTCATATTCACACCCTCATAGCTGTCCTAGACGGATGGTAATGAATACCACTGTGTTGTTAGCAAGAGTAGCCGTAGCCCAGTTCTGGATAGAGTCTTTGTATTCCTCTGAAACGTCTTGAACTGGGCCTCCAGTCTCTGTATTTCTCCAAATAGTCTTATAGTCTTAAGTCCTAACACAGTGGCAGCTCTCTGCTGGTAATATTTGGAGACTTTTCTAGCCCATTCTTCCACATTCCTCTACAGATGGTTCCAAAGGACTAAGAAACACATAGTCACAGCAGAAGCCCCACTTCTTGTCAAAAATGTTCAGGATTACTTTTCTCATTTCTGTGACAAAATGCCATGGCTGCCTTAGTGTTGTGTCACTCTGAAGAAACCCCATGACCAAGGCAAGTCTTACAAAAGAAAGCATTTCACTGGGGGCTTGCTAACAGTTTGAGAGGTTTAGTCCATTTTTATCATGGCGGGAAGCATGGCAGCGTGAATGCAGTTTCTGGAGCAGTAGCTGAGAGCTACCTCCTGATCCATAGGCAGAGAGAGAGAGAGAGAGAGAGAGAGAGAGGGGCTCTGGTTTGGCATGGGCTTTTGAAACCTCAGCACCCACCCCCAGTAACATATTTTCTCCAACAAGTCCACACACCTCCTAATTCTTCTAATCCTGCCACTCCCTAATGACTAAGCACTCAAATATATGACCCTGTGGAGGCTTATTAAAAACCACTGCAATGACCAAGCATCTTAAGGATAAGAGGGTTTACTTTGGTGCACAGTTCCATGTCTGCTGTGTGATGATGTCATGGATAATCAGTATTAAGTCAGCCACTGCTTTTCTGAATAAATGACATTTAACTTGAAAACATGGAATAAGGAAGGAAGGGCTTTCTAGGTAGTGCCTACCACATGGGCAAAGGTCCTTCGTATAGAGAAGCATGGTAGAGGGAAGTCATGGCCTGAGACAGGGATAGATGCAGTATGAGGATGAAATACAAAGGCATGGAACAAAGAACGTAATATTCACAGTTTTGAAACTTGCTTTAGTTATCACATAAGAGATGGTTTGGAAAGTAGCCCGAAGGATGCTGGGAGATACTCAAGAGTCTACTCTAATATCCTGTGAGAGACAATATTAGGATAACATGATAACAAGGAATTTTAAAACGGGTACAATTGCACAGATCTGTAATTCCAGAACTCATGAGCTAGGGCAAGATGAAGAGAGTTCAATGACAGCCTGAGCTACATAAATAGATATCGGAAAGATTCTCTCTCTCTCTCTCTCTCTCTCTCTCTCTCTCTCTCTCTCTCTCTCTTTTTCATCCTTTGACTTATACTCAAGGAAGATTTAATAGCAAAAACCAGGTTGCTAGCACCTGATGATGAATAGCCTTTACACATGTGCACATATAAACACACACATTAAAATAAAATGCATACTTTTCTCAGCCCTTGATGTATAGTCCATCTCCTGTCATAATGACTAAAGGGCTCAGTTAGAGTCTCTGGATCCCACGGTGCCCCTGCTTTCTGTGTGGTGGGTGAAGGGCACACTTACTAAGTACTGCAGGGTACAGATTTAAGTCCATCTGTTTTCTCTGTTTTCTTCTAGATTTCAGTTGGTGAAAAGTGAAACAGACAAGAATTGCGCAGGCATAAGTGTCAGGAAGAGATGGCAGAGCACAGAGTTTCAGACCCTAAGACCGTGTGATGCTGGAAAGAGTCCTTTTATCTCCGCAGCTCCCAAAGCTACCTCTGATCCAGTCAATAAAGCAAGTACATGAAAACACTTTCATTCTTAGAAGAGAATTCATGGCCCAAATACATTTTCATTAAAAAAAAAATAGTTCTGAAAAGTCTAGCTATGCAAAAAATGTGGTTTAGTGCACACCTTACTTGGTGAGGTGGGGAATAAACACAGTGTTGTTATGTTACAAGGCACAGAGACAATTGTTCCTGGGCATCCTGATTGCACTTTGGGAAGAAACCAAAAACAAAAACATGTGGAAGGAATTTGTCTCCACCCTTAAGGAACACATAGTTCTGAGGCAGACTGTGGAGACCAGCAGGACATAGCTGAAGATTATCCAAATCTTTCCCCAGAGCCTTGCATCTAAAAACTCTCTGCCCCATGAAAACCTAGGTGCATTCACAGACTGCTTTGTTGGAAGAATGCTTCCTCTCTCTCTCTCTCTCTCTCTCTCTCTCTCTCTCTCTCTCTCTCTTGCTCTCTCCCTCCAGTTCTCTCTCACACAGATGTACAGCACACCACACACACATGCAAACAGTCAATATATACATGTATACATATACCACACACCACACATATACACACACCTCACATACATACACACACATTGCACATACATGCACACACACCACATACACAAATACACACACACAGGTTTCTTTTTCTTCTTTCTTTTAGTGTTTTCTTTGTTTCACATCAGTGCAGAGCCAAAAGCAACTTCCACACCCAGAACTACAAATTCCCTCTGCAAATGGAGGAAGACAAGCCCCTGTGGTAGCTGGGGTGTGATCCTTATGGGATCCCTGGGGGCTCAGTATCAGTGGCGCTCACTGCTTCCTTTTCCCTGGATGCAACAATATATTAAGGGGAAGGAGAGGGAAAAAAGAGGCTGGCTCTTTTCATGATTTTCCTTTTTTAAATTTTTGTTGAAAGAGGGCTGTGTTCTCTTGATCCTTCAAACAAATGGAGGGGAAGTGGAAGCCCAAAGGTTTCTCTTATGTTCCCTGGAGAGCGGCTGTGTTTGGAGTACCATGTGGGAAAAGCCCTTGTGTGTCTGCTGCATTGTCATGCTCTGCCCAAATGATTTGCACAGGGAAGCACGGGACAAATAGAATTTCAGTGTCAGAGAAGGAGTAGGGTCTGTGACCTTGAATCACAAATCTCGATTGCCCCTCATCTCTAAAACCTCCCAACCTCCACCCTCCATCTCTATTCCCTGATGAGAAAGATGCACGAACATCCTCTTAGCCCGACTCAAACAACACGTCCAAGCTGAAGTGCTTCCTCTTCACAGTGCCCCTAGGCAAGACAGGTGACAGAATAAGAGGTTGGCTGAATTATCACTAAAATGACAGCGATCATGGGGACCATGGGCTCTGTCCTAGCATTGTGTGTAGAACCCTTTTTAACTGATGCTTGGCCTATGCGGTAAGTCTCTTCACACAGTGGATCTTAATAAATGAATGCTCTTTGGAAGGGAAAGAGATGGGTTTATTAAAAGGCATATGGAAGAATCACAAAGCTATGGCTTCCAGGTTAGCGATTCATCATATTAAGCTAGCAAATAATTTTGCTTCTTCTTCTAGAAAGTGGTAAGAGTAAAACTATCTCCAACCTTGTGTGGGATGAGGGGATGGATGAGGTAAAAACCAGTTAATCATTCTAGACTTGCAGAGATAATCACTGTGTTACTTATTATGGTGTACGGATAGCTTACCTTCCAGCCTGTAGCAAGTCTAGCAGAGAAAACAGCCGCACTTAGAGTGACAGGTTATTCAAGTTAGAATAATATGTAAAATACTC